AGATATGTTAATGACCATTCACACCTCAAATTCCTCATGAAGACCCCCTGCCAGCTGACCTTAATGACTCACTCAACCAGACACCTATCCCACCCTTGGAAACAAAAGAAATGTTAATGAGCAACTCACACCTATTTATCTCAAGACATACTGCTGTCTCTGCTTCTACTGTGTGTATTTCTCTGAAACAGTCTGAAATAGTTAATAATTTACCACTTTTCAGTGCATTCTGGAAGGTTCTCCTGTGCTTATCTTTAAAAAACGCTTCTAAATGCAAACGTGCATAAACGCGCATAAACGCATTATGCAAACGCAGCTAAACAGACGTATTTTAACCTACGTTTTCCAGCAGTCAGTTTCCATCATTCAGAAACATCCCGTGTACATGGGGCCTAATACTGTAGTATCGTTGACTACTACAGTGATTGTCAGCTTCCCCAGCAGATCCTCAGGTATAAGAGTTTGCAATAAAGATCATACATGAAATTCAGCTTTCAGACCCTCCTGATTTACCACTGCACTGTGGTCAAGCTGCATATAAAATGATTATGTCTATTTTTCTTACTTTTTATCAGCTAGGTGCTGCAGAAATGGTTAAAAAAATTTGTGCTGCCTACACTAGAAGAGTGGTTTGCTGTTTGCAAATACAAGCAGCCGACCATCAGACAACCCGCCAACACTTCTTCCTGAACACTGCTCCATGCACACTGGACGTTTTGATAACGCTGGTAACGTTAGCTGTGTAAAGTCACGTTAAAAACATGATTTTTTTCAGCTTTTATTAGCGGTTTTGCATTAGTGTTTAGCGACGTTTTGCCGCAATTAGCTGTGTTTTCCCAGGTTTTTCCCACATTTGTGTTTTTTAGCTGTTTTAGCAGTTTTTTGACCCCCCAAAATTTTTTTTGTGTAAAAAAAATACAAAAACTCCAGTTTGTGGCATTTTACTGCATTTTACCGCGTTTTGTCATGTTTTGCAGCGTTTTTACAGTTAAATAACTCCTCTAGAAACCCACTAGTTCTGGGGGTTTTTTCCAGCCAAAAAACATGCCTGCCAAAAAAAGTTGATTCCAGTCTATGTGTGCATGGACACATAGGATAACATGCTGGGGGGTTACTGGCTGTAGAAAAAAAAGTCAAAAGCCAAAAACAGCCACTGTAAAAAACGTCCCGTGTACATGAGGACTAATGGTCAATACTACTCGGGAGTGATGTTGATTAGAGCAGTGTTCAGCTAAGCATTTTGGACAGGAGGAGATCTGGGTGTGTTGGAGTCAGACTTTTGATGCAGCATTTAGCTTATAAAAAAAAGTAAAAAAGAACAATATTTATTGCTGTATATACACACTGGCTATATTGTAGTAATAGAGTAAGAAGATCCAGTTGATCTTTAACCGCATGCCGCCCAGCCACTGTACATGTACGGCGGCAGGGCGGCACTGGTAGGCAAAACAACGTTTTAAAACGGACCCCGCAAACAGGTAGGGGGCGCGTGTGAGGCGCGCGCCCGCCCTCCCTGTCCCGTGGGTGTCCGCAGCGGGTGTCAGCCGCCGGGTCACGGCCGGTTTTTACCGGCCGTTTTCCCGCGATGAGCTGTAATCACTGTCACAGAGCAGAGCTGCATTGTTTACACACAGCCTGCTCTGTGACAACAAGCTGAAGAGGGAGAGAAATTCTTCTCTCCCTCGATCAGCTCCCCCCTCTCTCTCTCCCCGTCCAGAACACACCCCCCGCCCCCTAGTAAAACACTCCCCTTACACAGTAAACTCCTAAAAATGTTAACCCCATTCCTCCCCAGTGACATTAGTACAGTTTCAGTGTTTTTTTTTGTCAGTGTCAGTGACCCCAAGTCAGTTCCCCCCCCCAGTGTCAAAATGTCCGCCGCAGTCCCGCAGTCCTATGGGAGTGCCATAAGTCGCTGGTCTCTGCCATAAGTCCCTGATCGCTGCCATAATTCGACTGATCGGCCATTATTAGTATAAATAAAAATTAAAAATCCAGTATCTTTCCCGCCATTTGTAAACGCTATAACTTTCACGTAAACCAATTAATTTACGCGTATTGGGATTTTTTTTAGCAAAGACATGTCGCAGAATGCATTTTGGCAGAAATTTATGACTAAATTTTGATTTTTGCATTTTTTTTTACTGGACATGTTTTTATAGCAAATAGTCCAAAATATTGTTTTTTTTTCTAAAAAATTGTCAATAGCGCAAAAAATAAAAACCGCACAGGCGATCAAATACCACCAAAAGAAAGCTCAATTTGTGGGAAAAAAAAAGGATGTAAATTTCATTTATGTACCGTATTGCATGACCGCGCAATTGTCCATTAAACTAGCGCAGCGCTGTATAGCAGAAAAATGGTGTAAATTGCAGTATTTTTAAGAGTTTGTAGACGCTATAACTTCCACACAAAGCAATCAATATACACTCATTGGGATTTTTTTTAAAAAAAACATGTAGCAGAATACATTTTGGCCTAAATTAATAACCAACTTTGAGTTTACTATATATTTTTTATTGCTGAAAGTAAAAAATATTGTTTTTTTCGTCAAAATTTTTGGCTTTTTTTTGTTTATAGCGTGAAAAATATAAAAGGTGATCAAATTACACCGAAAGAAAGCTCTAATAGTGTGAAAAAAAGGACGTAAATTTCGTTTGGGTGCAGCATTGCTTTGACAAATTATCAGTTGAAGTAAGTGCAGCGCCGAGTAGCAAAAAGTAAAAAAGCCTGGTCATTTAAGGGGGGTAAATCCTCTGGAGCTCAAGTGGTTTTAACTACATTTAGCAATGATCTCATTATCAGAATAATAATTACAGTGTGCTACAAATGAAGTGATTGCCAACAAGTATGTTTTGCCTTTTTTACTCTGCTGCCCTAGGCATTGGAGCCTAAGTGCCTTTTGGTAAATATGACCATTCTAACAGAGGTAGAATGACAGATAAAAAAAAAAAAAAAAAATATTTCCCAGAACATTTATCCTAGCCTCCAAATTGACAGTAACAATTTAAGTTAAAAACAGAGGTTTTAGTTGCAAACATTTGCAAATAAATGTGCCTCACCGAGGCTCCTCTGTAAAGTTTGGTCCTAACTCTATATTTGAGAGACTTCATACTGAACCATATACAGTAAAGCAGCAGATAAATTATGGCCAGGTATGCCTGGAGGGGACCCACTCCTCCAATTGTTACTAAACCCACAACAGTAAAATTAGTCTGCATATGCAGTAAAGCATTCTTGTTATACTCACTGGTGAACCTAAGGGGTCGATCCTCCATATTATGTAAAAAGGCTGTTTGATACTGTCTTCTCTGATCCTCCTCTTCTTCTACTGTCCCCCATCCATCTGACGATAGAACAGAGCATTGTGGTAAGCTGCACATTCTCAGTTTGGTGTGTATTGCTAGAGAGGTTTTTTTTTTTCTTCAAAGAGTGCATGTAATCAACACAGGGCCAATCAGCACTGTCCAGATAGAGGATCAGGGGTTATGCAGCCTCACAGGACAACCAGGGGAGAATGAATACTCCTCCTCCAAGCTTTAACCAGTGCTCTGCTGGACATCGACAGAAGTCACATAGCTGCTGTATACTGCTGAGAGAAGGTATTTAGCAGTTTATATTTACTAAAATAATTGCATTTCCGTGTTCTGTGGGGTACCAGATATAGTGAATGCAGGGTTTTAAGTTTAGTAACACTTTAAACTCACAGGGACACATTAGAAGCCCAGCAAGAGCACAACAGGAGCTAAAGGCATTCAATGTGTCCCCACACCTAATCCAGAGAGCAAGCTATACAACAATGGCAACCACCCCAATTTTTAACTAGCTTCTGAAGTAAGGTGCACAAAGAAGGCATAGCACAATACAAACAAAAAATGTCCCAGTGCACTTATCAGCCAGCCTGCAAAAAAAAACACATTGACCTGACAGCTAATTTTTTGCATTGCATAAAGTAAGGAATGGGCAGACCCCCCCCCCCTCACTTTTCCATTGACAGCGGTCACAAGCCTAGGGGCATTTACTAAGACTGAATGTCCCAAAATGAGCCACCTATGTCGATATAAACAAGACAGAGGTTCCTGACACTCCCGATACTATTTAAACCTAGAAAAAAAAGATTTGTTTGTAATTCTTGGTTTACAACACTGGCACATCCCACTAGAGTGATCCATGTCCTGATCTCGCACATGTATTGGGATCATTGATTAAATGCGAAATAACCTTTGCTTTCAGAAGAATAGAATTTTCTGAAAATAAAGCAACACATATTTAATGTTTATGTTTTCTTCAAATAGGTTAGTTTAGAGAAAGTTGATTGCCAATTTGGTTAGATGTCTTTATTGATGTTTCAGCCATTTGTGGCTGTCCGGTGTGGATCAATTTAAGAACCCAAATAGGTGATTTAATTAGGCCTTAATTGTTACAGCTGCAACTATATCAACTAGATTAGCTAGGTTACAATATAAATTATTTGTAATTGGTTAAGAGTTAATTTGAAAAGATTCCTCTCACAATTGTTTTATTGCAGAACACCGAGTTTCAAGGATAAAGATTAGGAGTAAGAGATAAAGTTTTATCAAACTGAATTTTGGTACTGTTGAACATTATAAAATGTATGAAAATTATTTTCCGCAATCAATCAGGCAAGCAAAAAATGCTGTTTCTAAAAAAGGAGGCAACAATAGCTATAGTGGTCCATGTGGGTTTTAGAGCCAGGGCTAAGGAAGGGATGGGGTAACCCATGTTGTTCTATTTGCTGTCTCACCGCACCTATATTTTCACTATATTTATGAACTAACTTAAATGGGTGGGCATTTGATGTTGCATTTTCAAAGAATCTGGCCTTCCGGTTTATTGTCCTCTAGGTCAAAGTTTGGTATCCGACCTTCTTAGGAGATGAAACGTGTATGGCGCTGCACTTTCAAAGGCTTATTTTGACTGCCACTCTGAGGGTAGGACTATACAAAAGACGATAGAGAGAAATGTACTAGTGTTTGTGCTAGAGGAGTTCCATGTTTACATTATCCAAGACAATTGGGGCCTGCATATAGAAATACAGTTTGTTGGTGGCTTAACTGTGACAGCAGGGTTACAGGCCTGATTAAAATCCACAGTACATAGAACCCAGGGGTGGACTGACCATTCGAGCACTCGGGCAATGCCTGAGGGCCCGGGGTCAGTAGGGGGCCCCATGAGATGCCCCTGGTACCTTTAATTGGCGTTTTCATACGCTTTTTTTGGGTGTGGGCGATGACATAGGGGCCCCATGATCCCCTATTGCCCGGGGGCCCCATGAGTTGTTAGTCTGCCCCTGGTAGAACCTGTTAATTTTATTTTGCATAGAACAGGAAAGGGTTAGTACATCTCTCAGCTTTCTATCGCCATTTCTATCAACTAATGGGGAAATTACGTATCATAGAATTACCAGCACTTTTGTTGCTTTTTGCATTGAATAAAGGGTCCTTTACTGGCCCAAAAACATCGCACCATTTCTATGGCATGAATAAATTCTTCTCTTGTTGACTATCGTGTGCTCATGACTGTGATACTTAATGACGGCACCATCTGTGAAATTGGCAATGCAGCATGTATGCTATTCACAATGTCAGGAGTGCACTGGACTACTAGGCTTTTCTGTTGGGGAGATTTCCCCTCAATTTCTGTTAGGACAATACAAAACATAAATTTAGTAGAGCGAGAAAGGGTTACAATACTGACAAAGTTTTTATTGCTGTCTGTACCTTCTTGTTCTGGAGATAGTCTTTCAGTCCTCACCCTTTGTTTGTATAGGTATCACTGAGGCATAGGAATTCTCCCAGGAATACAGTCACTTTAAGACTTGGGATCCAACTTGTGAGACTCCAAGTCGCATGACATGTGAAATCCCATGATAGTCAATGAGAGCTGTCTTAATTAGCACTACTGAAGTAGCTCTGACTTTAGGAAAGGTTCCTGTACTACTTCAAGGCAACTTCTATCCCACGTGTGCCCATAGACTTTAATAGATGTTGCCTCCAAGCTGGATCCTCATTTATATTGATGTGGTTTGGATCCAACATTACAGGCAGATTACCCAAGCAAAGTTGCATGGCATGAAAGTTGCACATCAATTCGCTTCAAAGTCATGCTCTAGTCGCCAGCTACTGGCTAAGAAGTTACCTGGCAAAGTCGCATCATAAGCTGCGAGACTTTCATGTCACAGTAGTGTGAACCGAGCCTTATTGTCTGCTTTTTTTTAAAACTGTCTTTTTATTAATTGAAAGTAAAAAAAATATACAGAACAGGAAGGATAAGCAAGCAGAATGTCTCGCAATCATGTCCCGAATGGATGAATGGGTTTACCATGCTTCCCTGACATAGAGAATACTCAGATTTCCATGTGGCTAGTTTAGCCTAGCGTGCAAAGAATCTGGCTGGAAGCAGAAAAATCAAACCAGCATATAGCAATCGCCTTATATCACAAGACAAGTCAACAACGCATACATGAAGTGTGCATAGAAGCAAAACGTTGACATGATCAGTTAGGCATTTGAAGTGACTAAAGGTGGATGCCAGGAAAAAAGGAAAGTAAGGAAGAAGAAGTGAAAAATAGAAAAAAAGGAAAGAGGAGAATATCCAATGCACTCCACTTCCAAGGGGGACCCACAGACCTGCTCCATTCCCCCCAGGCGGAAGAGGACAAAATTTGGATAGTGCTTATTGTCCACTTTTTTACTTTACTGTGAAAACTTTTTTTAAGGACTGCAAGACCATCAAGGTGTGCAAATTCTGCAGTAAATAATATAACCAAATTGTTTTTGCCATCATTCAAAAATAAAGGGTATGACATTATCTCAAGAGGTCAACTGGCCTAGCAAGTTACTAATAATTATTGTCTTTGCATCACCAGTTGACATAAATGAGAACATACTGCTATTATTTTGAGTGTACTATATTAGTCATTATTTCATTCATGATCAGGTAGATAATGTGTTATTGTCAGCTAATTATTGTCTACCAAATTAAAGGCTGAGGTCACATAAAGGCAAGGTAAATTGAGGACCATTGTTTTTTATCATGGTGGGTGAACACAACTGGACGAACTTTGCTGTCATCTAGACATGTGACAATGCCATAATAGACCAATGTACATCTTTGCCAGCACACCAGGGATTATCAAGTAACATTTTATTGTAGAATGATCACATCACAATGGACAGAGTGCAACGTTTTGGAGCTGCACAGGACCCCTTTTTCACATGCCTGACCAATGGGGTCCTGTGTGGCTCTGAAACATTGCACTCTGTCCATTGTGATGTGATCATTCTACAATAAAATATTACTTGTTACTCCCTGGTGTGCTGGCAAAGATGTACATTGACCTGTGAAGATCCCAGTCTTCAGCTGGCTGTTGCTACAGCACCCGCTAAGCCTGAGCCTAATCCAGGAATGTGTGATGATAATGTTGACATTATCTCATTACAGTGTCATACTGACACAGACAATGCAACTGGCCAGTTTCTAAGTAACCTGTAAGTAATTTTTAACAGGAAAGAGAACCTGTCACCATTTTAAAGTGTTCTCTGGATGTGATTCTGATCCAGTGATTTATAGACTGAAATTGAACACCTGCTCACAGCCTGGTAGGAGCAACTCCATACCTCCCAACTTTCTGAGTTGAGAAAATGGGAAACATACACATTATACAGTATGGAGGCAATGAACTTGGACCATGAAGAATATATTCACACAAAATGGTTGATTAAACCCATGTGTGCTTTCTTCTACCACTAATTTTCCTTTCCACTGGCTTTTTACAATAACAAATGTAATCATTTAGAGGTAGGATTAAAGGTTTATTACAACACTTTGGTATTTAAAGTAGAACTAAAGTTTCCCTGTAGCAAACTGCAAGCAGACAGGCTCTTTACTGCAGAAAAAACATGCAATATCTCTTCTGCAATAACATACTGGCTGTTTGCCGTCTTCGCTAGCATGTAAACTGAGCAGCACATGCGCAGCTCAACTTACTGTATGTTGCAGGTGTGGTCCCGGTGTGCCGGGATGACTGCCATCATCTTGCACTGTCCAGTGAAGGAAGTCAAAGACCAGCACCCAGCAGTGGATGCTGGAACTGGCAAGGGAAGGGGACCATGAAAAGAAAGGTAAGTTTAGATCTGCCTTAAATAATATATGTATTTTGTATAGTGCACTATGCATAAAACCAAAAGAGGGACAACCGAGGACGAAAAAGTGAATAAGTTTAAAAAAAAGAGGCTCAGTCCCTTCAAATGAGTGAGCTGAGAGTTACATGTGGAATCCATACCAATGGCTGAGGACCATTATTTATAGGTCAAGGAAATACTGCATACCTTTATCCAATGAAAATTGTGGCCATCTAAAGGCATTCTAAAGGCATTCAGTGTCTGCAAAAAGTGTCTGCTGCAACACTTGTTTTATCATTCATTCCTGCTGGAACTAGAAAATATATTTATCACACAAAAGCATCAATTGAACAGCTGTAATATAAATGTGGCTATTTTGCAGAAATAGCTACATGGCTACATGAATTCAGAGCTTTCTTAAGGTGTAAATGTGACAAAAATAATATAAAAATAGAAAATGAAAACTTGCTCAACAACCAAGAGCTCCACAGAATAAGAAAAAGGTCCATTTAAGCATTTTATTTCACCTAGATCCTGCATCTGTTAAAATGATGCAGTTAACCTGAATTTATTGAGTAATATTTTTCAAAAACAAAATCAAACAGTGTATCTATTGCTTTGTTCTTCAATAAATTAAACATGTCATTCTTGCAGGACTTAACTGCCAATAAATGGTAGAAAAAACTGAAAAAAAAAAAAACTGAAAGGGAAGTTTTGTTAGATCCTTACCCAGATAACACACTTCTTTCAATTAATTAAATTATCTGAACATACAGGTGTAACCAAATATAAAGAATTAGAGACTTCAAACTAAGAAGGTTGAAAATAAAAGAGCCATGGGAGGATTTATGAGAACTGATGTACCTTTGCATAAAACAGGGGTGAATCCAATTTTACTGGAATCAGCATCAACAACACAACTACACCAGCAAAGAAAGTAGGCAGCCTGGCACAATGCCTAAAGATAAGTGTACCAAGAATCAGTCGATTTATCATTCAATTTTCTGATGCAGAAAGGTGGGTACTATCTCTTAGTCTTTTACCCACAACAAATTTTGACAAATTTTGTTCCTTTTTGCAAGGAATCTCATCCTTAAACTCATGTACCATAAAGAAAATCACAATAAGAGCAAATATAGCAAAATAAATAGCAAAAGGAAAAGCAATCACCTCTTACCATGACTACTGAAGCTTGGGCTAAGCTGTACAAACAGGACTTTAAGACTTTGAAGGACCTGATAAAACTGCTAAATGAAGGTAACCCCAATGTCTTTTCTTCACCAGATAATCAAGGAAATTGACAGTTCGCAATCAGCATTTAGGTATTTTGAATCTTACTAAAGAACAATCCTAGGCCTGACCATTAAACTGTCAAAGTTGGGTAATTGTTACAAAAGGGAGTCTGTATCCACTAGAAACATGCTTATAAAGAATAGGTGGTGGTAGCTGTTGCTGCGTGGAAGTGCATTTCTGGATTTAATGTTCCAAAAGTTTTAAACCTTTTTTATAACTTTATGTAGGATACTGGATTATTATGAGAATGTAGACTAATTCCCACATTGCTCAATCTTTGCGTGGTCATGTGGGTGTAGACTTTGCCAGCTATCCTGCCTGTCCTTTGACATAGCTGCTAATGCATTACAACATCATTAACATGCATGCATCACACGCACTATGTCATGATTTCAACGGCGTGGTGGGTGTATGGTGGGGGGGGATAAGTACACCTCTTAGGGATGACACCAATGGTGCACTCAAAACTCTGTATGAATGGAGCCTCGAGAGTGAGTATCAGAGCACTTAGATTGCAAAGTGAGTCCATTAGGGCCACTGCTCCTGTATGAAGATTCAGTAATCTAAGATCATGAGTTAGTGCATTGTATGAGACCATAGGATAGTCCAATATGCTCTGTTCCTCTCCAGTTGCAGCCCTTGGCTTTGCTCTGTCACCTATCTCAGACATTGCTCTGAAAACAATTGACCGTTATATCAAACAGTTGTTTAAGATGCTGCTGACTGCTATTTTTATTTGCACTGGCAAAGTTAGTGAAACAATAAATGGGAC